CTCCCCCTTTCTTTCTTTCTTTCTTTCTTTCTTTCTTTCTTTTTTTTTTTTTTCTTTCTTTGCTTTCCTGTCACTTGGTCAGCATCTGGAAATACTCTGGTTAAGCCATGGGAAAACTACCTTACTTTCTAAAGTCTCTGACTGTGTGTGGGCACCAAGAAGGGTTAAGCCAGATTAGCATGACACAGCCTTTGGAACAAGACTGATTCTCTTGTGTGGATATCTGTGCACACAGGTGACATGTACAGCCATGATGGAAATGCTGATGAGCCAGAATGGGTGAAGACAGAGCGAGAACAGTTTGTTGAGTTTCGAGATAAGAACCGGGATGGGAAAATGGACAAGGAGGAGACCAAAGACTGGATCCTCCCTTCAGACTATGACCATGCAGAGGCAGAAGCCAGGCATCTAGTCTATGAGTCAGACCAAAACAAGGTAAGTCGTTCCAGGCCCAAGCAGTCTAGCCATGACCAAAGTCTTCCTAGGGGGTTGCCTTAAACAGATGTCATCAAAATATGTGGAGTATTTTTAGGGTCTTAATTACTTTAAGTCTGTCAAGGACTTAATTTAATGACCACAAATCTTCAGGACAGCACTAACTGTCGGATCTCATTTTGGAAAGTGCTTGCTCTGTATTTGTTAGTGTTGGAGAAACCTTGGCTTCAGCAAAGAGTGCTGGTTTAAAGCCTAACCCAGCATATGTCAGCTCTAACTGTTGAACCCCAGGAAATTGTCTTTTTTAAATTGTGGCTGTTATTTCCTGTGTTCTTTTACCTACTACAGGCTCATGCTACCTATTTCCCAAGCCAGTTACTGCCATCCTAAATCACACACACACACACACACACACACACACGATTTTTTTAGAGGAAGAGAGGCAGGCAGACTGACAGCTGACTCACTGAGACTCTGAATATAAAGCCCTTGGCTGTCCTGAAACTACAATGTAGACCAGCTCACAGACACACACTTGCCTGTCTCTCCAATGCAGAGATTAAAGGTGTATACCACCACTCCCAGCATTAAATATATGCTTAGAATTTAAGCTCTTTACATGGGGTTATAAGCCAGCTTTTCTCTGGACCCAGTTAAAATGGAAAATTGTCTGAGGTGCTTAGGTAATCAAATTTTCACTAAGCCTCTCACCGTCACCTTTTCTGAAAGCTGGATTTTTAAAAACCAGATTTTTTTTTCCCCCTATTTGGAACATTCATTAGGCTTCAGATGCTGTTTCTTAGAACTTGATTAAGGTTGATCAGCATCACTTCAGCAGCCAGCTGTCAGTCCTGAAGTGTGAGAAATATGAGCAGTCTCCTTTGAGGAGTCTTGTGCTGTTTGAGATGAGTGACTGAGCCTTTTTTGGATGCAGCTCATCCTGTTAGAGTGAAGGAGGGGAGATAAGGCTTGGCCTGGAGAGTTCTCTGTTCCTGTTAGACCTCAGTACGATGCACCCCAGAGTATCAAACAGCTCCTGCTGCCACCCATATCTAGCAACTGCCCCATAGTTGACTCCAAAAGGAGTGTTTGCTGCCTAGGCAACAGATTTGCATCTCTGTCCTGAAGTTGTTGAGGATATTTGGCCCATCTTTTCACTTTTGACTTTTTTTTTAACCCCCTTTGAGATAGAATCTCCCTCTGTAGCTCACTCTAGCCTTGAACAACTCTTCTGTCTGATTTCCTAAGTTCAGGAGTCAGATCCAGGGCCTCAGTCATATTAGGCAAGCACTTTACCACTAAACTATATTCCCCAGCCCACTATGAGTAACTTTCTTGATGAAAAAAAGATGCTGGTCTCTCTCTCTGTGTGTGTGTGTGTGTGTGTGTGTGTGTGTGTGTAGGAAGGATGGGGGAATAACCCTTGGGTTTGCATGTAGAGGGAATTAGAATCTTAAGTTATTATAGTCTCAAGTTACTCTTATTTTATAGCAGTCTTTCTGAATTTGGAATGGCAAGTATATACAGCCTCAATTCACTGTTTCCTCTGATTTCAGGATGGCAAGCTTACCAAGGAGGAGATTGTCGACAAGTATGATTTATTTGTGGGCAGCCAGGCCACAGATTTTGGGGAGGCCTTAGTGCGACATGATGAGTTCTAAGCTGCAGACAGAGGAACCTACATTTCTTCAAAAGTAATTTATTTTTACAGCTCTGGTTTCACATGAAATTGTTTGCGCTACTGAGACTGTTATTACAAACTTTCTAAGACATGAAAAGGCATATTGAGATAATGAAAACCATCCTGTCCCCATTCCTCCTCCCCTCTGAGGGACTGGAAGGGACCCGTGCTTATGAGGAACAACTCTGATCAGTACACTGTGTTTGTAGGTTTACACTTTGTATGATGTATAGCATGGTGTGTTTATTTTTGTATTGTTCTCTAGTTGGGAGTATAACGTGAAGGATCAAGACCCTCAGCCCACACTTGTAGGCAAACATTAGCCCTTTACTCTTTCTCAACCCCTTACTATATATATATATTTTTTAATAGTTCTCACTTAACTAATTTTTTTTAAAAGCCTGAGATCAATAGAAATGTTCAGGAGAGAAAAAAGAAAGGAAAAACATGTACTCCATAATTTATGTTTAGAGAGAGAATGCTTTATCTTTCCTGTTGAAAAGCTCTATTTTACAAGTGGCCTTTCAGTTGTCACAGACCCAGCCACTGAGCCTGCCATTTTCTGGGCAAGGCTAGATCCCGGTGCTGTAAGACAGCTCGACACAACTTGACTTCCTTCTTTTTCCTCCTTTAGGACTAGCTGTTTGCTAACTTTGTCAAGCCCAGCTGTGGTGGGAAGAATTAGGAATCAAGTAGTATGTATGATCTCGTCACAGTGCTATTTCTAGCTCTTTATAGACCTGTTTCCAACTAGAAACAGCTGGAAAACGAAAGGAAAAAAGTGTGTGGGGCATGCTTCTATTCTGATTGTATACCTATTGAAATTACTGTGAGGCCCCTCCAGCCCCTTCCTAGGAATTAATTTTGGTTTTACAGCAAAAATTGACTTTTTTCCAATCATGTCATTGAAAGTGCCTTTAACAGGAAAAATAATTACTGAATGGGAATTTGCTTAAGAAGCCACAGGATGAATGCTTTGGGCCCCTTACATGATGCAGTGGGGAGTTTTTCCCTTCTTTTTCTCTTGTGGACAATAGCTAAATAGCAGTATTAGTTACAAGCTTGGTTGCAGTGTTCCTATCTTGGGGGCTAATTTCTAAAGACCTCATGCTGCTGATTGGACCAGGGATCCTCATACCTCAGAATGCAAACCACTCTCTGTCAGGCCTCTTGCTTACCAGAGCTTGAGCTCTGACTTAAGGATGGATGGGCACACAGAGGGGGCTCTTTGGTTTGAGGACCTCTGCTCACCCTTCCTGTCTTTAACCCATCACATCCCATGTTGTCATCTGCCTTTCTCTCTGACACTAAAAGGTGGGGTTGGTAGGAAGGTCATGAATCACCAGGTTGCCGTCCTTAGCAAAAACCCCATCTGTTGCCAACTATTTACCCATATTTTGTGCAACCTAGTATGGGTCTCTTACTATGGGCCTCTTAAGAATTATTGTATTCCAAATCTTTAACCCTCAGGTTACTAAGATAAATATATGTATGTATAATCTTTATTATTTCCTATATCTGAATAACACATTCAGGTGGTGCTGGGGGATGGTCATATCTGAACCTGGACCTACCCTTTGGTCTTCCACAACCCTGTTGAGGTGGGCTGCTTGGTGTGGTGTAACTTCACCCAAGCCATTGCATCAAGCTCTTGATATCAAACACACTCGAAGTTTTAACCCCAGGATAGGAGTAATGAACATTCTCTGCCTTCCAGACCCTCAACTCTTTCTTGTTAAGGAGACCAGAGATAATTAATGCCACCAGCCCTGGCTTAGAAGGGTGTGCCATCCTGTGTGACAAGAGAGCCTTAGAGCCTAACACTGACGTGAATGTCACACACTTAACCAGCAAGCTTAGCTGCTACCATGGCATATTCTGGACATGGGGTGCTCAGCAGCAAGAATTGTTCTCATCTCCATGCCCCCCACATAGTGTTGGGGTTTGGGTTTGGGTTTCTGGTTTAAATCAAGTCTGAGGCAGTGGGCAGTGGCTGCATGTCCATAGGGTGTGCTCTGTGAATGCTAAGCTCTCTTGAATTTGAGTATTGGTTCTTTTTATAGAGTGTAAACCAAGTTTTATATTCTGTAATGCAAACAGGTACCCATCTGTTTCTGAATAAAACTGTTTACATTCATCAGGGGTGTATCTGTCTTTCATTCTCTTGGAAACGGGATTGTGTTCCAGGCTAGCCAAGGCTCCATAGTGAGACCCTATCTCAAACTATGAAGGGGCTGGAGAGATGGCACAGTGGTTAAGAGCACTGGCTGCTCTTCCAGAGGACCCAAGATCAATTCCCTGCACCCACACAATGGCTCACAACTGTCTGTAGCTCTAGTTCCAGGGGATCTGATACCCTCACACAGACATACATGCAGGTAAAACATCAATGCACATGAAATAAAAGACCATTTTTTAAAAAGAAATAGAGGAAATGGGATTGTGGCTTATTGTTCTGTGTTGTCAAATGTCAAAGGAAAGGAATTCTCCCAGAAGGTCCACCATATCCCCACCAGACTGAGAGAGCTGCCTTCTCCCTCACACTTAGTCCTTTCCTCTTCCTGAGGTTTCTGGTTGCTGACCCTCCTGCCTCCTGGTGCATCATTACCTGAGACTGGCACCCAGTATTTCTTGAGTATAGCTGAACACAGGTGTATCTTGGTTTTCATTTCAAAGGTGCTCATTTTCCAGGAGCAGCAGGTGTAGGGAGAGCGTAAGGTAACATGTTTTTAGCACTTGGGTTTGGTTTATAAATGGTACTGAGACATGCAAATTCGATTTGAGGATGTCACGGGATTAAACCACTAACTTTAATCAATGCACAGCTTTAAGTGGATACATTCATTTAGCCAAGTGAGGAGGAAAACACCTAGAATACTTCTGTTTGAGATGAGTGAGCTGAGGCAGCTCTGGCCATAGTAGCTACAACCTAGGCTGCAGCGACTGGGAGGGACCACATAGGGAAGTTCTTTTAAGTTCACGTGGGTGCTGGTGTTTGCTGCCTTTTCTCTCCACTGCCCCTATTGCTTATTCTAACACAGTATATACCATCTCAGATCCAGAAAGGGAGAAGAAAAAATGACTGAAAAGGAAAGTGTTGCCCATACACCAAAAACAGTCCCTTCTCTCACAGTTCTCTGGGGGTGAGGGTGCCACTTAGGAGTAGAAACTGACTGTTGAAATGGCCCATGTGGGAACAGTACCCTCAGGAAAATGAAACTGATTCCCAGGAGTGCCATTACTCCTCTCCCATCCTTTCCCTGCCTTTGGGTTTTAATGTGGCGGTCTGATTGCTGCCAGTGGGCCAATTGAGGGTCCTTAGTGAGGGCCAACTTTGCTAGAAGAGACAGTAGAAGCTTCTGTTTTCTGAGAGCCAGACATGTCGGATTCATCTGTCACGGGCTTCCTGCACACCATCTCCATGATGCAGGCCCGGAACTGGAAAGAAAGGTGTGTGTATGGTGGGTGTCCTTGTCCTGAAAGGCTAGACTTTAGAAGGGTCGGATTAAGAATTTGTAGAAGGCTAGGCATACGTGGTGGTGCACACCTTTAACTCCAGCGCTTGGGGACAGAGGCAGGCTGATCTTAGAGTTCAAGGCCTGCCTAATTCCCATAGGAGTTCCAGGGCAGCTGGGGCTACACAGTTTGAACCTGTCTTAAAAGGGGGGGGAGGCGTGTAAAAAGCTAGACATCTGTTTACTGATGCTGGTACTTTTTTACCTAAACAGAAAACGTAAGGCCAGGGATGTATAACTCAGTACTAGAGTATTTGCCTAGCAGGTGAAGTGCCCTGTGTTCAATCCCTAGCATTGCCAAAAGGTTCCCATCTCATCCCACTCTTTAGAACAACTCAGTTTTTCTGCCTCAAGGCCAAGCCTACCTTCTAGTATTTTAGTAACCACACACCATACATGTGCCTACCAAGAGCTTCCTGACTTGCTTGGACTTTCTGTAGCTTTCCTCATCTATAAGGCCTGTGTAGCGTCCAGGTGCTCAGTTAAAACGTCAGTGGGGGAAAGAACCAGGGTCGAGTGGACCAGGACCTCCTAGGGAGGCAGATAGACAGCTTTACCTGCTTATTCATGAAGCAGTAGATGATGGGATTGTAGACACACGAGCTCTTGGAGAAGAAGGCAGGGATGGTGACTAGCCGCAAGTCCAGCCCGTGGTTGCGATTGTTGACCATGTACATGGCCAGGGCAGCATAGGGCACATAACAGAGACAGAAAGATCCCACCATCACCACCACCATGTGGCTCACCTCCCGCTCTGCCTTCTGGGTCGTAGCTGACTCTTGCTGCTGAGCTGCCACCTGGAATGGAGCACAAGGGTCATATCCCTCTCACTTCTGGCCTCAACTCCCAGATCGCCAAACCCTTTTGTGGAGGGAAAATCTCTCACTGGCTCTTCTGGCTGAGTTTGGCTTCTCCTTGAGGGAGACATCATGGAGGTGGATCTCAGCTCTTTGGCGTTAGGAATGATCACAGCCTCAGCCCCTTCCTCCTCCTCTCTCAGGTCTTTTATTCCTTCCCCCACTGCCTCTTGTGCTGGGGATGGAGCCAGTCCCTCGCACCTGTTGTACCGCTGGGTGGTAACTCCACAACTTTTCATTCCTTTACATGCCCCCTTCCCCACCCTTGCTAGCTCCTGATTCTCCTCCTGCTTGCCATGGATATTCCAGACTTGTGTCCTGGGGCAGATACACATGCTCCTTGTCCTGACCCCCTCAAAAGCCACTCACAGCTCTGAGAGTCCTCAGCAGCTGCGAGTAGGAGAAGCAGATGAGGGAAAGGGGCACGATGAAACAGAACAGGAAGAGGAACCACGTGTAGTACTCGCTTCGATACTTGGTGCCCACCGTGTACCAGTCCGGGCCACAGGAGCACTGCAGGCCCTCAGGGATGAACCTGAAAAGGATCAAGCGTTCACTCTGGGCTCTCCCTCAGAACTAGCAGGGTGGGAGCTGGGATTCCTGGATTAACCTGTCCAGCTGAAAGAATGCCAAAAGACTACAGTCACTCCAGCTGCAGAGTAAACACGGATGTCTCCAGCTGCCCTTTCTCCTTTCTTATCTACCAACTCAGATCAAAGAATAAAAGGCTATACCCAATCTCTCTTCCCACATCAAACCACTGCTCTACACTCTCACCTGCTCCAGCCAAAGAAGGGTGGGATGGACACACCAATACCAATGGTCCAAGTGACCAGGACTACCATCAGTGCATGCTTGGAGCTGAAGCGGATGTTGCCAAAGGGCTTACAGATGACAATGTAGCGCTCAAAAGCCAGGAAAGCCAACGACCATCCAGTCACTAGACCTGTGGCAAATGTGAAACAAATAGGGTAGACAGCCTCACCCAGCCTGGAGAGGAATAAGGGTGTAATTGAGCAAATCCAGAGAGTTGGAATGGAGTTTAATGCTCACACATCCTACTTTGGCCAAACTACTCAGGGTAATTTAGGGCCCGCTCCAGTCTCAAAGTCTGGCTCCAGGTTCTAATCCTAGAGCAGCATCCTTTGCCTGGCCCTAGCCCCGGGTGCCTGCAGTACCTGCTACAGAGCCCAAGAAGGCCTCCAGAGCACAAACATGGCGGCCAAAGAGGAAGTATCCGTGACAGCTGGCGATGAAGACAGTGAAGACGGAGAAGCTGCAGAAGAGGAAGCCCCCGAGGGATACGTTGACCAGAATGTAGTTGAGGGGCTGCCGCAACTTTTTGTAACGCAGTGTGACCACCAGCACCGTGGCGTTGAGTGGGGTCCCTGCAAGGAAGACAAACCCCATGAAGGCTGCCTGGAGGTGGAAGGCCCAGACGGGAGCAATGTGGTACTGAGGCCCATCCCAGGGCCCCACCGAGGAGATATTCTTAAACAGATAGAACTCATCCTCCCCAGACATCTTGTGCTCAGGACACCCTCACCACCACCTCTAGTCCTCCTATAGATTAGTCTTCTGCTGAGGCCCCTCCCCACAGCACCCACCTTTAAAGACAGAGTGGGACTGAATGATCCTAAGCCTCCCAAAAGATGAACCCCAGGATTAGATATCACTATGTCCCCACCTAAACCTTTCTTGATCCCAAAGCTGATTGCAATCTTCAGAGGATAAAAGATTGGGGTCAGAGACCCTGGATATGCAAGGCTGGGTGCTAAGGTGGGTCAGCATTGATCTCTGTGGCCTGGAAGACGCTGACCTATTTATATCCACCGTAAATGCTGCTGTACACTTCTTTAGCTTCAGGCTCCTGTGCACCTCACCTGGCCCTTTGTGAATGGTGCCCGTCTGAGTGTCCTTATCCAGAGAGCCTGGGAATTGGCCCCAGGAAACAGGAAGGGGAAACACCCTTGGGAGCATTTTTTTTTAATTTAATGATTTATTTTTATGTACATTGGTGTTTTGCCTGCATGTGTATCTGTGTGAGGGTGTCGGAGTCCCTGAAATGGAGTTACAGAGATTTGTGAGCCACCTTGTGGGTGCTTGGAATTGAACCTGGGCTAATGCTCTTAACCACTGAGCCATCTCTACAGTCCACTTTGGGAGCATTTTAAACAGCCATCATGGAACATTACAGAAGCAACTCCAAAGGACCACAGTAATTCCAACTGTCTTGGGGTCCAGGGTGTGCCTGAGCCACGACTATGTCATTTGAACCTCTGTGGGGAGGTCTTCCTACTTGGACCTCAGGCTGCTTCTTAGACTAGACTTTTAGATTAGAACAGGAGAGGATGACTTCTGAATAAACCAGGCTCACCGTTAGGTGATGGACACCCAGTTAGCATCTTAACATCATCACACTCAGCCTCACACAGAAGACAGAGAAATGAAAGTGGGTAAGGCCACAATCTCCCCAAGCCTGCCCCTAGTGACACACTTCCTCCAGCAAGGGTCTACACCTGGAAAGTTCCATTATCACGCAACCCCACCCCCCACCACTACTGTCATCACCTGTGACCCAAGTGTTCAAATACATGAGCCTATGGGGGAGGGGGTGTTTCTCATTGAAACCTCCACAGCAAACTAAAATATGAGGGCTAGAAAGATGGCTCAGTGGTTAAGGGCACTGGCTGCTCTTACAGAAAACCTGAGTTTGGTTCCCAGCACCCACATGGTGGCTCACAACTAACTCCAGTTCCAAGGAGACCCAGTGCCCTCTTTTGGCCTCCACAGGCACCAGACATGCACACCTTGTTCATACATACACATAAGTTAAAAAAACAAAACAAAACAAAATAGCACTGTTTGTTTGTGGCAAGGTTTCTCTGTAGCTTTGGATCCCGTCCTGGCACTCACTCTGTAGACCAGGCTGGACTCGAACTCACGAAGATCTGCCTGCCTCTGCCTCCACTGTCGGGCTAAAATAGATTTTATTTATTTATTATGTATACAACATTCTGCTTCCATGTATATCTGCACACCAGAAGAGGGCACCGGATCTCATAACGGATGGTTGTGAGCCACGATGTACTGGGAATTGAACTCAGGACCTCTGGAAGAGCAGTCAGTGCTCTTAACCTCTGAGCTATCTCTCCAGCCCTGAAATAGGATTTTTAAAAGGAGTTTAAACACAGGTAGGCTGCACACTGAACAATGCTTCCCCCAGATTACATGGGTTATTAAATGAACATCTCAATGCCAGGCATGAGACACCTCCCTACAAGTTTCCAATCAGGAGGCCTCACAGGTCCCAGAAACAGCACAAACTATTGCCATCGCTCCTGCTGCCCACCATAGCTAGGGTGTTAACACCCCATTGTTGGCCACTCTGGTTATAAGGGATCAAGCTGGAACGTCTTCTCTGCAGGCTAGCTTTTACAGTGCCAGCAGGTGCTATACGTGCCATGGGTGGGGGGTCAGTTTTATCCAGAAATGAACCCTAAAAACTACGATACCCACATATCAGGTAATGGTTACAGGGGTAGCCAATCACTTCCTGATTGGATTTTAGGCCTGGCACACAGGCAGTACAATATAGATTTACAGTACAGTACCTGGTACTCTAAATCTTTCTTTTACAAGATTGCTAAAAAACCCATAGCTTGGGAAGTCTTGGTGTACATGTTGCTAAACTGCCTCTTCAATACTTAATCTTACACACATAAACTAGAGCTGTTCTCAGCCTTAGCCTGGGAAAGCCTCTTCCTCAGTGGGCAGCGGTTAATGAAGAGACTCATCTGGTCAAAGGGCTGAGAGTGACTGTTGAGTGCCCGGCCCTAAATCCTAAATGACTGGAGTGTCTGTATCAACTCTCTCTCTCTCTCTCTCTCTCTCTCTCTCTCTCTCTCTCTCCCTCTCTCCCACACACACACACACACACACACACACACACACACACACACACCCGCGCGTGCGCGCGTGCTCAGGGACCATCACAGAAGAGAACAGGAAGAATGGAAAAGCCAGAGGATGGAGAAGAGTGCTGTGGAATTCTGTCTTCTGGACATGACCTGGCCTTTGCTGTCATCACCTCACTGCTGCTATGGTTACCTCCACAAGACCCAGCCAATGAGATCATCAGCACTCCAGCCAGCAGCACTGGTTGGGCTCAGCGGGTCACAAAAACAGAAACGAAAAGGGATGGACACCACAGTGGGAGGGAGACATGTTGGGGAGAGTGGGAGAGGAGAGTTGGGTCTTGGGACTCTAAGTTCAGGTCCTCATACTTATACAGCAGCCTTTACACCATGGTGTCGTCCTCTCTGCCACCTTTTCTTGTACACTTAGAGAAGTGTGAAAGGGGAAGTGTGTGCTGGTCCAGTAAGCAAACCTGTGTGAGTTGGCGCTCACTGGCCCTGCTACACCAGTCACCCAGTAGGAAACCTACAGTTCTGGCCAGCTTTCACCACTCCATTCCTCTAGGCCCACAGGCCTATTCTAATACAACACGTGTGTGTGTGTGTGTGTGTGTGTGTGTGTGTGTGTGTGTGTGTGTGTGTGTGTGTGTGTGTGTGTTATAGGGCTAGAGAGGTGACTCAGTGTTTAAGAGTACATACTGCTCTTACAGAGGACCCAAGTTCAGTTCTCAGCACCCACATAGAGCAGTCCACAACTGCTTTAACTCCATCTTCGGGAGATCCAATTGTGTGTGAGTGCACACACACACACACACACACACACACACACACACACAGAGTCCTAATACAATTAAGACAATAAAAATACATTAAAAACTTCTTTAAACAAAAAACCCAAAACCTAGCCAGACCAGGATATTTGTTGCAGTCCCTTGAACCCTAAGTCAAAAGAGCTAGGAGGAGACTAGTCAGCCATTTTGAAAAGGCTGACATTCCCATGTGCACACACAGTACCTCACACAGATGCTCACAGGTAGGATCCTGCAGAGATTACTCAAAAAAATCCATCTGAGGGTCTAGAATCCGCCTGGGCAGGACCTGAGGACAGAGCCCGAGGCCACATGGCAATTGTTCAACCAGCATTCTGAAAGTCAGCATACTGTTTCTGACTGTCATGGATTCAAGGCAGCCTTGGCTCTCTTACTCCTAATGAAAGGCTGCACTGTTGACCCCTCTTTGGCCTCTCTGAAATCCAGATACCGACTCAGACAGTCCCCTCCCATGTCAGAGGGTTTGGGAGGAACCCAGACCCAGTTACAATGTTACAGATGACCCAGTGAGGCTTAAACCAAAAAGTATCACCAAAGTACAACTTCTCACCAACACCAAGCAGAGGCGTGCCTCTTCAGAGACCCTGAAGCCATGCAGTAAGGGACAGATGGGAGATTCCAAGGAGGGGGCATGGGACAACAGAGGAAGGAAGGCCATGATACATAATTGGAACAGTGTCTCTGGGCCTCTTCCTGGACTCACTGGCACACCCTCATTCTAGGGGATGCTTTTCCTTTCTGTCTCACATTGTTTTGTGTGCGTGTGCGTGTGCTTGGTGTGCGTGTGCTTGTGCGTGTGTGTGTGTGCGTGTGTGTGTGCGTGTATAGGTGTGCACATGTGCTTATGGTGCCAGCAGAGAATGTCACATCCCCTGGAGCTACAGTTACACGCAGCCAGTTGTGAGCTGCCCGACGTAGGTGCTGGGATCCAACTCTAGTCCTTTACCAGAGCAGCAAACTTGTAACTGCAGAGCCAATGTTTTTTTTTTTTTTCCTTTCTCGAAAAGCTGTCTCCATTTCTGTTTCTAAATATGCTTTCCCCAACACTTGGCATTTCCTCAGTTTCTCTGACCTCCATGGCCAAGTCCTCCTCCCTGAAGAAAAGGACCCCTCCTTTTGAGAACAACTGATTTAGATGCATATTATAGATGCTCAGTGTAGGAAAGGGACATAGTTTCTTAACCATTTCAGGGATTTTTCTTCTATTCTGTTTATGGGTTTAGATATTTTTTTTTTTTTTTTTTTTTTTTTTTTTTTTTTTTTTTTTTT